TATATAGAGAGAGAGAGAGAGAGAGAGAGAGAGAGAGAGAGAGAGGGGTGTATATGTCACTTGACAATGTTTTGGTCCACAATGAGGTATGTGTCACTTGACAACGTTTTGGTCCACAATGGACCCCACACACAACCCATTATAATCATATGGAGCTAAAAAATTCCAATCGCCAAGTGGCATCATAGTAACACATTACTCAGATGTTTGTGGCAATGTTGTTGAATACCAACCTATTGCACTGCCAGTCATGTAAAAGCATTGCATATACAATTATGTACATTGTATACCACTTAGTAATAATGACTATGTTGCTTATGTATTTACTATACCATATCTTTAGTCTTAACGTATATTCCTTCTGCTTATAGATTTTAAAAGTTAACTATAAAACCACCTCAAGCAGGTCCTTCAGAAGGCCTTACAGAAGAAGGCATTGTTATTATATGAGATGACAGCTCTATGCGTATTACTGTCCCTGAAGACCTTCCAGTGGGACAAGATATGGAGATGGAAGATGGTGATACTTATGATCCTGACCCTATGTAGGCCTAGGCTAATGTGTGTGTTTGTGTCTTTATTTTTAGAAAAAAGTTTAAAAATTTAAAAAAATTAAATACCAAAAAAGCTTATAGAACAAGGATACAAAGAAACAAAATATATTTGTACAGCTATACAATGAGTTTGTGTTTTAAGCTAAGTATTACTACAAAAGAGTAAAAAAGTTTTTTAAAATTTAAGTTTATAAAGTTAAAAAGTTAAAATAGGCCAGGCACGGTGGCTCACACCTGTCATCCCAGCACTTTGGGAGACCAAGGCGGGAGGATCACCTGAGAACCTGGAGTTTGAGACCAGCTTGGCCAACATGGCAAAATACCATTTCTACTAAAAACACAAAAATTAGCCGGGTGTTGTAGCGCACACCTGTAATCCCAGCTACTTGGGAGGCTGAGGTAAGAGAATTGTTTGAACCCAGGAGGCAGAGGTTGCAGTGAGCTGAGACTGCACCATTGCACTCCAGCCTGGGCAACAGAGCAAGACTCCGTCTCAAAAAAAAAAAAAGTTACAATAAGCTAAGGTTAATTTATTATAGAAAAATGAAAACGTCTTAAAAACTTTAGCATAGCCTAAAAATAGAGTGTTTATAAAGTCTACAGTAGTGTACAATAATGTTCTAGGCCTTCATATTCAGTTACTGACTCACCTAAAGTAACTTCTAGTTCTGCAAGCTCAGTTCACATTAAGTGCTGTATACAGGCATGCCATTTTTCATCTTGTATATTTTTACTGTACCTTTCCTATGTTTAGATAAACATATCCTTACCATTATGGTATAACCGCCTAGAGTATTCTGTAAAGTAACATGTACAGGTTTGTAACCTAGGTATATAGTAGGCTACACGATCTAGGTTTCTCCAAGTACACACTATGGTTTCACAACCATGAAATTCCCTAATCACCTATGTTCTCAGAAGATATCCCCACTGTGAACTGACGCATGACTGTGTATATATGTGTATACTTGGAGCCATAAACAAGACAGATAAATCTCTGTTTGCCTGAGCTTGTATTGCAGTGAGATAACCCTGAAACCAATATAAAAACAACAACAAACTGGTCAAAAAGGCGCTGATGAAAATATGATATGGATCTGGAGGTACATGCTACTTTAAAATGGTTGGCTAAGAAAGGTGTCATTAAAGATGTAACATTAAAATGAGATTTGAATAAGAAAAATGCAGATACAGAAGTATCTCAGGGAGGGCGTTCTGGCCACAGAGAACAGTTATGAGTGCAAAGTCCTTGAGGTGGGAACATAGTTAGATATTTATGGAATACACACATCAGAATGTCTGGAGGAAGCCACCCAAGGAAACATGGCGGGAGATGAAGTTGAGAAGGCAAGCAGGGCCTACATTTTAGAGATCAAGGATTAATTCTAAGTACAAAGGGAGGCAAGTAGTCAAGGGGCTTTACATAGGAGGAGGATAAGATCCCACTATCCTCTGAGGTCATTCTCAGTACATTGCGGAGAATGGATTATAGCAGAGCAGGAGGACCAGTCACGAACCTCCTGAGGTATCCAGGTGAAATCATGGGGTGTGAGGAAGAAAAGTACACATTTCCATCTTTTTTGAAATTCTTCTTTCTGTAGTTTCCATAATCTTCAGCTCTCTTGGTTCTCTTAACTCAGCATAGTATAATACTGGTACTACATTAATATTTGTGAACCATACTACATCCACAAGGAGTTCTTTACTTGCATTATTTATTTTAAATTTTCACAGGAATTCTGTGATCATTACAGTGCTATCATTTAAATTTTGTACATGAGGAATTCATACTGAAAAAATATGAATCAACTTGCCATAGGATGCAGAACTAAGAAAAGGCAGGACAAGAGCTTAAAGTCACTTCGCTTGACAGCGAATCCTTTCTCTTGCTACCCTATCACACTGCTTCCTTCTACATTTCTGGTTCCTTTTTCCTCTTCCTATATCTTTACAAATGCAGCTACTCTCCAAGGGTCTTTCTTCCTTGCTTTAGACTCCCGCTTCACCACACTCCCTGTTAGCTACCGTGGATATATCCCTAAACTCCCCTTCCAGCCACTGAAGGTTCATTCCATTTCTCCTAATCCTCTGTTTCCAGATGTTCGCAATATCCTACAAGGGAATGTCTTATTCACAGTTAAAACTCAATATTGCCAAAATTAAATTCCTTTTCCTCCAAGCATCTTCCTCCTTTGGGCTGCATTTATATTATTAGTATTGCCATCCTTAAAGCCTCAATTTCATGTTTAACTTGATTTTTCTATCATGATACCAGGAATAAGTTAGTTGTCAAGTCCCAATGGCTCCATTGTTTTAGCATCTCACAATCCAGCATTATGTTACTATGTCTAATCTTGGACCCTCATTCACTCTCATCTGGATGAGGGGAATAACGTGCAGCTGGTCTTCTCTTTGTAGTTTCGCTTTCTTCAGATTCACCTTACACATGACAGTGGCTTAAAATTTCTTGAAAAATAAGTCAAAAACATCTACAAATTTAAAGTAGCATTCAAAGCTCTTTATGATCTAGCTGAAATCTACTTTAAACTTCCCCTTACTTTTTTGCTTCAGAGAAATGAACTACTACTATTCATTTCCCAGCTGTATCAAATTCTTCTAGCATTGAAGATTTTAGTCACCTTATTTTTTGTCTGAAATGGCTTTCTTCCAAATTTACTTGCCTAATCCCACCCTTCATTTTAAAGGCCTAGATAAAATACCACTTTCTTTAATGAGCCTTTCCTTCTTAGTATTTTCATCATTCCCCACTTACATGCTCCAGAATGTAAAAATTCTTAAAGACAGACTACAGACTAACTGATCATCTTTGCACACTCAAAATTGCTCAAACCAGTGCCTTGGTCACTGCAAAAAAACAAACAAAAAAACAACTTGCTGAATGAATTCATAAAAAGTGTGAAAATTTGTAGTCAAAACACTTTGTAGAAGGGCAAATCTATAAAGATGTTAATTTCTATAAAACTAAAAGATAACAGTTAAATCAGTATAAAAGAAAAATTTTAAGTCACTACATTTCTTTACTAAAAGCAATCATTTTGCAATCTTTAATGGTATCTGGAAAGAAATCCATTTCTACTTACTCGCTGCTGAAACCTAACCATATCCATCAACTGCTGAGCTCCAGGAGATAACTTTGACCCCATGGACTCCATCATGGTTTGGACCTTGTGAAGGTCTATCCTTGATCCTAGAGCAGGAGAACTTGTTGAAGAACTTGCCAAAACTGATCTCATGTGTACCACAACTTTACTGATGAACACACACTGCCTTTCGCCAAAGGAGAGCAACTATTACAAAACAAAAGTCCAGAAAATAATGATATTAAGAACAATCATCTTTTAAGGTCACTTCTTGGTATCACCTAAACAAGAGTGAAGTATTCAAGAATCTAAAAATTAATTTCAAGTATACTTTAAAGTCTTCTCTAGAACACTATTTATCGAGGTTCAGAAGAACTATTTAAATAAAAACGTCCTTTCAAAAATTAAGACTTCATGTAAAATAACAAATGGAGTAGTTAAACAAATGTTAACCTATTTAAGAACTAAAAATAAAAATAGTAGTCTCTCTTTATCTGTCGAGAATGTGTTCTAAGACCTCCAGTGGCTCCCTGAAACTGTATATAGTAACAACCCCTATATTTTTTTCCCATACATACATACATACCTATTATAAAGTTTAATTTATAAATTAGGTATATAGTAAGAGTTTAATAATAGAATAATTATGACAACATAATAAAACTTATGTGAATGTGGTCGCCTCTCTCTAAATCTTACTGTGCGATACTCACCCTTCTTGTAATGATGTGACATGATACAATGCCTACATAATGAGATGAAGTGAGGCAAATGGCATAGGCATTGTAACATAGCACTGGGCTACCCTTGACCTTCTGATGATACATTCAGCTAATAGGTGGTTAATGAGCTGTAACATATACAGCAGGGACACACTAGACAAAAGGATGATTCATGTTCCAGGCAGCAGGATGGCAATAGATTTCATCACATTATTCGGAACAAAGCACAATTTAAAACTTATGAATTGTTTATTTCTGAAATTTTCCATTTAATATTTTTGGACCATGGTTGATGGTGGGTAATGGAAGCTAAAATGTTTACTGAAATAATAATAAAATTCAATCCTTCCAAATTCAGAACTATAAGAGAATTTCAAAATGAAGTAATACAGCTTGCTGGACTATACGTAGAAATAGAGTTCAAAGGTGATAAAAGGACACTCAATTAGTAAAGGTCCAGCTTGAAACCTAGCTCTTCTGGCTTCTATCCCAGTAGTTTATCAAACATTTTATCCTGTCCATATTTCTGAAACAAGAGACATTTCATGCGTGATACAGACAACAGAGTTGCAAAATGGAAAGGGAATGGGCTTTAGAATCAGACAAACCTGAGTTTAAATTGTGACTCTGGAACTTACAACCTGTGTGACCCTGGGCAAATGCTAAATCTGAGTCAGGATTAAAATGAGAGAAGATAGTAACAATGATTTCACATAGTCGTGAGGATTATATATTAAAATTTCCAGTAGCTACCACTAAGTAAGTGTTCAAAAACCTGTATCAGTAACCATTTTTTTATTTGAACTTTCATATACTATTGCCTCAGAATAAGCTTTCATATCAGCCCTAGACTCCCTGAAATAACACTTTGTGCTTCCATGTACTTCCATAGAACAGTCAAAAAAATTCACCTTAAGAGACACACAAAGATCCACATGTCACAGAAGGACAGAAGTTAATACAGACTCATGATCCAAGAGCTCTTGAGTGTTGAAAAGATGTAACTGTCCTCAACATTTTAAGGAAATATCCTATTAACCTCCCACCTCTCAACCTATTATCCCCTTTTCTCTTTTTAACCCCATAACCTTTTTCACCATTGAATATAGTATTTGTTTTACTCAGTGAGTTTCCTTATTGTCTGTCTTGCCCCTACTAGAAAGAATACAAGCAACATAAGGGAAGACATCAATTTATTTTCTTATTACTAATTCCTAAATGCCTGGTATAGTATCTGACATTAAGAAGCACTCAAATCTTTGTTGAACGAATAAATCACTTTACTCGAATGACTTTCGAATCTATTATATACTACCCAAAACAACATCTTGGGATAATTAGTTCTGTGAGTTTGCTAACTGCTTGTGAAAATAACTTATTTTTCCTTATTGTAAAAATAAGTTTCAATCTTCTGTAAGTAATGATAATAAGTACAGAATTTTAGAGATAAAAGGAATCCAAGAATTTTCTTCAGCTCCCTAATTTTAACCATGAAATAGGTGCAAGATCTGCCCAAGACTAATCCACTAGTCAGCAACGGAACTGAATTAACATTCAGGGCTTAAGACTTTCAACTCATTACCTTATCCCTAGACTCTGAAGACATCAGTAACAGTTATCTTAATATTTTTCATGCTGAAGACAATAATTCTCTAATTTCATTCTTTTATAAATGGGGCCAAAACTGCTTATGGGTTTTTGCCACCACAGTTTATACAGAATTTAAAAAAATATTTTTTTGCTCAATTTCCCAACGCTTTGAAATACACAACACTAGTATATTAACAATACATTATCCAAGGTTAATAAATGGTCAAATTTTATTTTTATTATTTGTTATTTTTTTTAGTGAGCTGGGGTTTCACTCTGTTGCCCAGGTTGGGCTTGAACTCCTGAGCTTGAGCAATCCTCCCACCTCAGCCTCCTGAGTAACTGGGATTATAAACATGTACCACTGCACATGGCTTATGGTTAAATTTTAAGAGAAAAAGTCTTCTCCCTGGTCACCAGGTGAAAAATTTTAAAAAACTTTTTTAAAATTCAATGTTAAAAAGGGCTGATAATTTTTTACAAAAGTAATTTCTTTTTACATGTTTACTATTTCTGAGCTCATCACTACTAAAAATTGTAAAAATTCACTGGGCATGGTGGTTCATGCCTGTAGTCCCAGCTACTCAGGAGGTGGAGGTGGGAAGTTAGCTTGAGCTGAGAGATGAGGTTGCAGTAAGCCATGACTGTCCCATTGCACTCCAGCTTGGGCAACAGAGCAAGATACAGTCTTGAAGAAAAAAAAAAAAAAATCAAGCAAGCAAGTTGGATTAATTGTATTACCAATCCAAAAGAAAATAAGCAAACACAGAGGACAAAAACAACTTAGTTGTCAAATTAGTTGACAACTAAGAACTTACCTTTATTTTACAAGCATGTCTGGAGGGCTCCAATTTTAGATATTTTTTGTACAAGATAATCTTTTCATGTTCGCTAAAAATAAAAAAGAATTAATTTTTTTACTTACATATATTATCACTTGTAATAGTTAGACTTAAAAATAAATGTTTCTGGCCAAGTGGGTTGCTCACGCCTGTAATCCCATCAGTTAGGGAGGCCAAGGTGGGCAGATCACGAGGTCAGGAGTTCAAGATCAGCCTGACCAACATGGTGAAACCATGTCTCTACAAAAAACACAAAAATTAGCCGGGCACAGTGGCACACCTGTAATCCCACCTGCTCGGGAGGCTAAGGCAGAAGAATTGCTTGAACCCGAGATGGGGAGGTTGCAGTGAGCAGAGATCCTGCCACTGCATTCCAGCCTGGGTGACAGAGCGAGACTTCATCTTAAAAAAATAAAAAAATTAAATGTTTCCAGAACAATATTTAAATCCTAAGATTCAGTTTTCCTGTTGAGGCATGAAGAGTTGGGCTCCATTACTGAAACACATGACCTATCACTACATCTACCACTTACTAGCTCAATGAGAAAATTACATCACATAACGTATGTACAACCATGTAGCCAAACTGTATTTTAAAGTTCAATAAACACAGCAATTGTTTCCAACATGCAGGATATAAAACAATTCATATTTTGTGTTACATTAAAGACAGGTTGGGGGAAAATATTTGTAAGAAAAAAAATCACAAGTTGCATTACAGGTTAATAAATAGGTTTATGTAGCACGGTCTTAGATCCCTCCACCATTTGTAATGGACTTCCAAGAAGAAAATGTGTTCAAAGTTCCAGACTGACTACCAAATTAACTTTTGGAAGACAGGCCACTGTGCGTTTGAGACAAATAACTCTTCTCAAAATTTCATTCTAATAAAACTCTTCCAGTAACTAGCTATGACCTCCTACCAAATCACCTTCACGGTTAGTTATAAAAATAACTAGGCTGCTCTACACTGTCTTTAAGATCCCTAAAGGTCTAAACTTCTATGCCTACTGGTACATTTTTATTTTCTCTCCCATAACACATGGCATCAATGTCAGAGAAGCAACCATTACTGCAAAAGATGAGGAAAATCAAAACACAAATTCAGAAGAACACTTTCACATGTACAAGTCACACACCTGTCATCCAGAACAGTACAAACATTCTTGCCCCTACTGGTTCCACAGTAATCCTTCCCAAAGTACACTTCCATATTTCTTGCTGAACTTAAAATGCCAATAGAAGCAATTTCTTCACCTTCATCAGGGCCACACTTTAGGTAAAGGAAGCAGGGATTTTCATCTTGGTTGGTCAAGCTTCTCTTCAAAATCACCAGATCCTGGCTGAGAAGAAAATTAGCGAAAACATCACACAGTATAGTTCTCCGAACGCTGCTCATAACCCACTTGCTAGGCCATGGGGTATCTTTCTTTGAACTCACTTCCACTTGCTGTTGAGGCTCAAGCACCTTCCCACGCATCCAACAAGCGGTCAACACATAATTCGTACGGAAATGGAGGCGTCACACACCAGGGCTTTACCCTCTATTTTTTTCTCAATCATCAACATTCTATTCCATCCCCTGCAATTGACTCTCGGATAATTACATAAATTACTGGACACCTACTGTGTGCATAGCAGAAGGAGGACACAAAAAATGACACGAGTGTATCTTTTTCAAAATTCAGTCGACAGTAGCTGGACTTCTTACACAGCCTGTTTTGGTGGATAGGAGGCTGGCTTGTCTGGGGGTTGATGGGCGGACTGACTTTGACAGCGGCCCTGACGAGCTGCCACGCTTGACGGGTCGTTTATGGTATTCCGAGTCCGGGTCACCCTTCTCCGCTCACGCTCCAGGGCCTCGGCCCCTTCCCGGCCAGACCCACCCCGCCTCCGCCCACCCCGGTCCACCTCGCAGCCCTCTCCCCCACTAAAGACCGGCACTAACTGCTCTCCCGGATCCCGGGCTCAGAACCTCTCGCCTCCCCCACGGCCCCCCGGGGAGCGCGGCAATCGCCGCGCGCAGCGACCCCGTCCCTGTCGGCCCGGCGCACCCTGGAGCAGGCGGCGCCAGCAGCTCCTCCCAGTCGAAGTCACGGGGGCCAAGACCGGCTGGGGTGAGAAGGAGGCTGTGGGTCAGGGCCCCGCCTGAGGCACCCCAAGAAGAGGCCAGCGTGAGGCGGCGGGTGAGGCCCCAGTCCTGGGTCCGCGTCTCCATTCCGCCGCCTCCAGTCAGGCCAGCCCAGCCCCGGAACCTCTCTTCCAGTGCTTGAATTTCCGACGGTACAGCTTGGAGGTGGGCAGGCAAGGCGACTTCCGGCTCACTCCGCTACAAATACCCGCAGCTTCTGGCTTTGGTAGGGAGGGCAGGCACCAGAGACACGCATGCGCGTGTGCCAACTGGACTCAGGCGGGGAGTTCAAAGTACGAAAGGAAGCGTCGAGAGCAGAGCATGCGCACTGGAAGCCCCTCGCTCTCCCGCTGGAGACTATGCGCAGGCGCGGTGCACTGCGCGCCGGCACGAGGGTGTTTTCGACGTTGGCTGTGGAGAAACAGCAGGCGATGTGGACGACCGTTGCTGAGCTGGTGTGGAGAGTCTGTAGTCAAGTAGGTGTGGTCTCGTCTCTCTATGCAGCATGCGGAACCGACTCCTGACCTTGTTCTCTCCCGAGTGGACGCCAGGGGCCTTTTCTGCTTCCACTCTGTCGGGTCTGCAGCATTTGTGGCAGCGAGCGCGGCGGACGCGCTGCTGATTCGGGTTATTTTTACTCCAAACTCTCCTTGCCTCCCTCACTCACATTCTCGCGTTAGAGAGGAGTTGAGGCGGATGATGGGGCTTTGGGGTTGAAGGGCGTCAGTGGTGGGCATTGAGCCATGCTAGGCTTCGCCGGGCGCCATCTCACCTTACACCCCCTCACCCCATGTGCGACCTGCCCCTCAGGCCACAGGAACCCGGGCAGCCAGGGCTGGACGCTCTCCATGATAGAAATCTGAAATGATTTCTTGAAGGAGCTTAAGGCTGTGGATGCAGAATGGTGGGAGCAGATGGAACTTTTTGGATGCCCCACGGATTGGGACTGTAGATAGTGTGCCCCCTCATCCTCTTCCTGTAGAGGCTTGTGCAGATTATTTTTCTGTCTTTTGAAAAAAGGAAGCTCTGAAATTCCACTTGTCAGTAATCTTGAGTTCCAAAGTTGTGTTTATCCTCTCTAGGAAATAACGTTTTTGCTAACATATAACCTAATTTTGTTTCAGAGCTGTCTATTCTGGGATCATGGCTCAGTGCACATTACTTTAGTCTTCTTTTTGCTTATGTTTTCATTTGAGTTTATGTACTAGGACATGTGCCCTCTAGCTAAAAATAGTAACCTTTGCATTCTGTTTACCTGTGTCAAAGCAAGAAAAATGATGACCAAATGTATTTTTCTGTAAGTAGTCGCCAGAATGTATGTATGGTAGGTGAATTCACCAAGATCGACAGAAATGTCACCAAAGGTCCATCGTAAAGGAATTGTAAAGTCCTCGTTTGTAAAGATTTTTTAATATTTCAGACTCATTCTGAGTTGTCTTTGTTGTTATTTTTGTCCTGTATGTCCTGCTTCCTATGATCGTAAGTTAACTTTGATCCACATTAACACATGTGGACAATCCGAAGGAAAATAGGCTCTTCAGAAACTAATCTGCAATTTCATGAGCAAGATCAATATTATAAACTGGATTTTGACTTCCTTAAATAAAGCTGAATGGCCAGGAATCAGAAAACGAAAGACTCCTATGGTCTATGCTTTCCTTTATTTCCATCCAGCCACAAAACCACCAAGCCTAAATTTTCTTAAAGAAAAACTTTCTGTCTAGGCACTGTGGCTCACGCCTGTAATACCAGCACTTTGGGAGGCTGAGGCAGTCAGATCACGAGGTCAGGAGATCTCGAACATCCTGGCCAACATGCTGAAACTCCATCTCTACGAAAAATACAAAAATTAGCTGGGTGTGATGGCACATGCCTGGAGTCCCAGCTACTCGGGAGGCTGAGGCATGAGAATCGCTTGAACCAGGGAGGTTGCAGTGAGCTGAGATTGTATCACAGCACTCCAGCCTGGCGACCGATAGAGACTCCATCTTAAAAAAAAAAAAAAAGAAAGAAAGAAAAAGAAAAAGCTTTCCTATTTATGCTTCTTCTGTTTCTAAGCACTGGCTTTATCTGAACAGCTCCAGGAGTTTCTTTACTGGTCATTAGCTTTCATTTTCATTCCTTCCATTTCATTCTTTGAACTGCCCTCTTCTGGTGATTGATGGTTCCCGACTGAATCAACACCTTCTCTCCTTCGCATGGCATGCGAAGTCCATTGAAACTTTAAACTCTGCCTACCTTCCAGTTTCCTCTACCTAGAATGCCATAGTTTTCAATAGTAGGAAAAATCCTGTTTAGCATGCAAAACCAAGCTTACTTCATCTGCTATAGAATTAAACGAATTCCTCTTTGTTACACTTACCACTTTTTTAGGTAGTATAATTCTCCTTTTGGGTCAGACTTGGCCAGTTTATATATTTGTGTTCCTTACTATCTGCATGGTTGCTGAGCTTAGGCATTATGTTGAGTACAGGTTTGTTGTATGGAATTGATAGGTTGGTGACAGGTTTTATCACACAAACTAAGAGCAGCAGAAAAAGGAAAATTAGTACATTCAATCTTAAGCTTTTTTCCAATGCCAAGGTGGTTATGGTTCAGAGCTGACTTCAATCTTAATATAATACATTGTTCTTGTTATGAATTACAAATGAGTTATTTGCTTTATTTTTCCCCTTTGAAATAAATCCTAAAATATAGCTGGTGATATGGTTTGGTGGTGTCCCCACCCAAATGTCATCTTCAGTTGTAGCTCCCATAATTCTCACTTGTGGGAGAGATCCAGTGGGAGAAAAATTAATGGTGGGGGCAGTGGTAGTGAGTAAGTCTTGGATATCTGATGGCTTTATAAGGGGAAGTTCCTTTCGCTTGGCTCTCATTCTCTTTGCCCTCCCTTGCTTTTCTGCCATGATTGTGAGGCCTCCTCAGCCATGTGGAACTGTGACTCCATTAAACCTCTTTTTCTTTATAAATTACCCAGTCTCAGGTATGTCTTTATCAGCAGCCTGAAGACGGACTAATGCAGTTGGAAACTTAGCACCAGTATCACTAGGATAAACTGCAAGTTTTTGGCTGACCTATTTTAAACATTTTATTATGGTTTAATGATATGTAAGAACTCAATATTTAGGAGCACATTTCAAATCTGTTTTCAGAATATGAGCCAACCCACATTTGAAAGGTACATTTTAGAAAAAAAAGTAACTTAGGGTACTAATTTTCTTGAGCACATTCATTTAGTAATGCCACAGTTTAGATGTTTGGACTATCTTAAGTACTTTGAGTTCTTACTGTATATGCCCTGCCTTTTACACAGCAGTATATGTCCCAGCAAGGTGGTTATAGGAACTTAACTTCCTTCTCAGGACCACTTGAGTTGTACCTTCTCTCCTCCCTTCCCTCTCTTCCTGGTCCTTGCAGGTCTCTCTGTTGCCAGAAATTCCTTCTCACCTTGCCTCAGTGTAGGGCCTGCCATTAAGGGAGGGGTGGAAAAGATCAGCCTCCCTATCTTTTTCTCCCAACTTCATTTATAGCTGCTTTCCACCTCATTTTAACTGGAACCTCTGTTCTAGTTAGAAACATTGTTAGACCATATATAGTTTTCAATACAACCTTTCTGAGGAAATGTAGAAATGCTGCAGAGGTTCTCAAACTGGAGCTTAATCTGAACCTGCATCCATGATTATCACCTGTATGACACTCTTATCCTAAAACTATTATGCCATATCACCCTGAAGACACCCAATCTTGTCTCAAACTGTTATGCAATAAAGGGTTAACTCAGGAAGCCTGGGAGGTTCAAACCCTGCAGCTTCCAAAGAAGTTGGCTCTTGACCAGCTCCTGGAAGATGACTACTAACCTGTTAGAATGCCCGCCTGATAATAGTGCCTTTGTATACCTAGCTAGCTTGTATCAACAGTGTGATTTAGAGTAAGGCCACATTTGAGCCACATTGTATCAGTTCAGTCTCTGGAGGTCAATTTTAAATAATTATTTAAAATTAATTAAATAATAATTACTCTATACCTATCTAGAAACAAAGAGAGGTTTTGGGGGATGAGGTAGGTGGGAATCACATAACCATATCTTGTTGCTAACTGTGGGCTTTATAACAGAGTTTCTTAACACTTAGATTTCAGAACCTTTTATACCTTTATATCTTTTCTAATTAAAAAGTCAACATTGTTCTTGAGTCTATAGTACTTAATGGGAATGAGTACTTAAAAGAGTAGATTTATGAAAAGATAACCACCAGGTCCCTCCCACAACAAGTGGGAATTATGGAAGCTACAATTCAAGATGACATTTGGGTGGGGACACAGCCAAACCATATCATCAACTATATTTTATGACTTAAAAGGGAAAAATAAAGTAAGAAAGAGCTTATGGAAAAATCCACTCCGGCTTCAGGACACCTGGCTTAAAATGAACTTTCATAATGGACCCATTTCATAAATGGTTTTATCCTGTTTTCTTGGAAACTTGGTAGTAACTTAGATTGTTTACCTAGAGTCTTAAAAGAAGGTCTGGGTGAACAAATTCTTTTTTTATATTTATAAGGACGGAAAATAGCATCCAAGCTAAACTAACTGTAGGATTTGTTATGTTTTTTTATGCATTCATGGCACTTACATCTTCAGAAAAAGTAACTCATTAAAAATTCTGCATAATGTGCTCTCAAGTCATTGTAATATTGCATATTTCCTACAGAAATAACCCATCTTTATACAGAATGATAGAATTTTGAAGTAAGTTTATTAACGTCC